TGCTAATAAAAATAATAGCTATCCTCGCAATCAATATCTAAATGAAAAGAATAGACGTGGAGCTATTATTAGACCATCTCAACAAACAAAATTTATTAGAAATCAAAAAACAAGTCGTTCTATATCAAGGCAACGTCAACAACAGCGACGTATAAATGAACCAAAGCAACTATGATTGAATGATTTTATGCCACCACAACTACGTGATAAATCACCAGAAAATATGCCAAATTTTTCATTAGATTTTAATTTAACAACTTCTGATACAACAACAATTCATACAAGATCTAATATACCAGTAAATGCTCTATCACAACGACCAAATTTGCAACACAAACAATAACAACAAATGATACAACTCAACCATTCAATGTTTATGATGATGAGAATGTCAATGGACAACAGCCAAAACAGAAGAAGAATAATCAACCAGAACGTCGGACTACTACGACTAATACTACAGCATTTTATAGACGTCGACAACGTCGAATTCGTCAACAACAATATCAAAATACAACTGATCAAAATGAAAAAAATTATAATCGATTTGCTGCATTAGAACAAATAGATGCATGCAACAGATATTGAATCAAATTATGATGATGAAACAAATGATGTTTTATCAATAGCAGAATATGATATTGTTGATCACAATGAAAAAGAACAAATGAAACAAAACAAAATAAATCGAATAAATGATAAAAATAATAATAATAAAATTAAACGACGAATTTATCTAGAACCCAATCGAATAATGCGTTACATGCAAGATAATTCATCAGTTATTGTTGGTGGTCGTGGTAATCAAGCTTATGTATTAGCCACAGCTTCGATGTACGATGAATGGGTTTGAAATAATTATGAGCTTCAAGTTTGGCAAACTTTTTTAAAAAATGGGCACACAAGATAAATATTGGGCAAAAGAAGTCATTACACGTGCAAAAAAACGTGATGATGTAACGAATAGTCGATTTATCAAGAAGAAGATCAATCGATTAACAAATAACATAGTTCAAGCAAGTGCTATGATCACGAATCTACAAGTTCAATTAAGTACTTATTGGACCCAAACTACAGCTGGTGCAATAAATTCTAATTCTACAACTATGACAACTTCATCAGCAGCAGTAAATACTAGTCGAATTCATGATGCAGTCGATCGTCTGGAAAAAGCTATTTTAAAATATATTCAACATCGTACACAACATGTAAAAAACATGGCTGAAGATAAAATTAGATTAGCACAAGTACAAGCAGAAGAATATAAAGCATTAGAGGATTTTAAACAAATAGCGACTCCAAATCAATGGAATATTCATTTAATGTTAAAATCAAAAATGAAACAATGGAATACAAAAAAATAAAAATTATCTTATAGCTGCCAAACGTGTAGAATATGATCTACCTCCAAAATTTATTACAAATGCTAATTTTACATATAAAATTGATGAATCAATAATAAGTAAAGAAGAAGCTCAAATATTATATGATCAAATGCGTCAATTAACTAAAGAATATCGTATTCAAGCAATGTCTTTATACTTACAAGCAATAACTCGTGAAAAAGAAATATTAAAAAATGAAATTGAACTTGTTATGAAAGGTTTTTCATAAGAAAATGATGAAGGATTTGATATTGAATCTGATGCTGGTTATATAGCATTTAAACATTATAATGATTTATGTGAAAAACGTTTTAATTTAGAAGGTGAACAATCGATTTATTTTTTAGAAGAACAGCGAGTCGAGGGCAAACTCAACGAGCAAGAAGAAATTGTTGCCCCGACTCTTACACGATCGTTGGGCGAGGATTTCTCGCTCCAACTATAATTAATGAAGCACAAGTAAAATTAACCGAGGAAGAATATCAATTATTAAAATTAGGTCCTCGGTTTATTTATAATGATCCACAAACGGCTTCTCGACGACGTACAACTGAGTTGGCTATGTTAAAACGTAAAATTGAAGCACGATTTTTCGAAAAAAAAAGTGAGCCCCGGTCGATCAGTCGAACAATTTATAGCCGAATTGGATATTATATTAAAAAATTTACATGATACACCTATTAGTAAAGTAAATCGAAAATATAAACCACAACGTGAAATAATTTCATATGATAATTTATTAGAAACGATTCAATTGAATCAATATCAAATTACTAAATGTCCAATTACTACTGAAAAAAAAATTATGGTAGATTGGTCAAACGGTTAAAACACAAGCTTCGTTCAACTAGTATAGTTCTTTAAAAAACAGATAAATCTAAAGTTTTTCATTTAGGTAAATTACAAGATTATCACAAAAAAATCTGATGAATATATGGAAAAAACTGAAGCATATAAATGTTTACACCAGAATGATCCATTACCAAGTTCAATTGACTGGACAAATAAATATTTACTAAATTTAAGATTAAGTAATTGGATTACACAGAAACAATATGAACAATTAAGTATCAGACCAAATGAAATGGAATTAGCTCATCTTTATTATTTACCAAAAGCTCACAAACCTGGCACTCCAATTCGGTCAATTGTTTTTGGATTCAAACATCTAACTATAAAAATATCAAAATTTCTTGACGAATTACTTCGACCATTATTTGATAAAATGGCATCAAACACAACTGTTACTTCTGGAACTGAAGTTATTAAACAATGACATGAATGGTCAAAACGAAACATACGTGAAGAAACCTTAATGTGTACAATGGATGTTATAGATCTTTATACGATGATACCCCAAACAGAAGGTATATTGTCAATTAAAAAACTATGAGATTATTTTAAAATAAAAAAATTGGTAATATAAAAGCTGAAACAATAATTAGATTATGTCGATTCGTAATACAAAATATAATTATTTTTCTTACAATGGTAAATATTTTCATCAAGTACATGGTGGTGCTATGGGTTCTCCATTAACATTAACAATTGCTAATTGTTATATGTTCTTTTATGAACGAGATATTGTTAAACAAGTAAACAATAGCAATGGACTCTATTTACGATATATTGATGATATTTTCATAATTATTAATTGACCGATTCAACATCTTTCTAAACAAATTAGAGTTGAATATAAAATTAAAAGCTCAAATTGGTCATTCAACAAATTTTCTTGACTTGTACATAGAAAATAAAAATGGTGAATTATTTACAAAAGTTCATCACAAACCATCGTATGAATCATATTATTTACCATTTTATAGTGTTCATCCAATACATATGAAAATGAATATTCCATATGCTATGTTAATTCGTAGTATTAAATATTGTTCATCATTTGAAACATATCTAAATGAAAGTGAAAAATTAAGAATGACTTTATTATTAAATAAATATCCTGGTGAATTTATAGAGAAACAATTCAGCAGAGTATTTCAAATACATAATTTGATGCAGCCATTATCAGCAAGCAATTATAAAACATTACAAGAGAAATTAATTGATTTAGATAAAAAAGAAAAAATTCCAATTGATTATGAAAGAACAATGTTCATTCATTTTACATACTGTTTAAATATGAAAACATTTCTGGCTAAATTTCATGCACTGTGGAACAAATATTTTATAGAATTTCCAATAAATGAAATAAAATCGGTCTTAGGTACTCGTAATGTCAAGAATTTACAACAGTATTTAGTACGCAATAAATAATAATAATCTATTCTAATTTTATTAAAAGAATTGAAATACATTGATTAGATTATAATTATAGAAATAATGATACAATATGTAAGTATATATTAGCTTGAAGATATTGATAAAAATTTGATAATTCTAGAAATGATGATACAATATGAAAATTTAAATGAATTTGAAGATATTAAAATGTCTGTGTTATATTTAAATATTAATGGATTTATAGCTATGGTATATTTAAATATATATGGATTTATATTGATAATCTTATGTTTTACGGAAATTTTTATATACAGGGTGATTGAAAAGTTACTCCCTATTTTAAATTCTTTATTACTCTCAAATGACAAAAGATATCATAACGATTATTTCATTGTTTTGAAGCATGTGTCATGCCATTTTATAGTGGATGAAACAAGTCGATTGATCATTTGACTATCTAAGATCAAGCACGAATTTCATCTCGAGAATGTCTGAAAATAACTCATTATTTTGAATAATTTATTGTTCTTACACGAGAACAAATACTATAACAAAATTTTGTACTATTTTGAACTATGCATAATACAATAACATAT